TACACTCACTACAACTTATATTTAACTGATAGAAAATGTTATTATTATTATTTTTGTTATTGTTATACTTCTGGATTTATTATTTTTGTTATTATTATACTTCTACCTAATTAAAATATAGTGAAATGAAATTTCTTGGTTCAAACTATTTTATGAATATTTAAGAGGTAAACTGAACTCTAAAAAAGAGTTTTGATTGAGAACGTTCATTTTCTCCACTCCACTCGAAAGTAGTCAATAGCAGGTTACACTACTGTTACCATAAAATAACTTGTTTTATTATTATCTAGAGTGCTACCAATGGGTAGTTTCTCAACAAGCGTGTTTCATGTTATTTTATTCCTCTGTACACATTTACTTGATGTATTCATACTAATACAGTTGTAAATATCATAACAAAAGTTTTTTTTTTATTTATTTATACATGATATTTACAACTGTATTAAAGAATTAAATACATTAAGTAAATTTGATAACAGAAAATAAAAACATGAAATGACTTGTTGAGAAACTACCCACTGGTAGCACTCTATATAACAAAAGTTAAATAAAAAAATATTATCTATGGGTGACTCAATAAATATTTAGTGCTGAGGATATACATTTTCTCACTTCACAAGTTTTAGAAAGAGTGTCAGTTCTGGAAAACAAAAAAACTTCTTGGAAAGTATGAAGTTTGCTGTAATGTTTTTATCAAATTTATCAGTGTTCATATATATATATATATATATATATATATATATATATATATATATATATATATATATATATATATATATATATATATATATATATTTGTTGTTATGAAATCTAATATCATGAATGTTATAATTTCTTTGTCAATGCTATTTAAAAAAATTAAGAAAGAAATTACTTTTTATGCAATCTTATAAATATTATTTAATGTTATTTTTAAAGGGCCAACCCCAATATGGTTTATGTAACAAGCATGTATTACTTCATACAACAAATAAATTCTATCTATCTATCTACTTTTTTAATTGACACTAATGAATTTTTAAGATAGGTTGGAAGCCAGAAATCTGTATAGCAATCCATCTATACCCATTCCAATAAACTTGTGAAGGAGATTCCTCCTCCAAATCCTATCAAGAGCTGTTTTGAAATCAAATTCAGTTGGAATTTCTGGTGTGGAGTCTGGTGAAAAAAGTCATTTTTAGCTATTATTTTATTGATTTCTGTTATATAATTAATCAGCTTCTATTAATGTTAGTAGATAACGTTCCTCTTTAACCATTTTTACCATATCCACCCTCTTTTTTTCAGCTTCTATTTTAAATAAAAGATTTGATCGTTGTTTTTACATTTGAAGTCAACATTATTATTAACAATGCCATAATATCATTCACTATAAATTAAATGAGAATTGAGAAACAGAAGATTCAATCAAAGATAACCAATTATACAGACACAATTACTACAGGTTGTCTTTAAAAACAAATTGATGCCCTAAATAGGACATAAAAAATAAGTTTTATAACGAACCTTCAAGGAATTCTGTTTGAAATAATATTGCTGGTAATATAGAAATAGTAAAAATAGTATTGCTTTGTTTTACAAATCAATTGGGAATCTTTAGGAATACATTATGTGGAGGAAAGTGGTAATGAGTCAGGAACGGCAAAGTGGTAATTCAGTTGGCATGAAGAAACAGGGTAGGAGGTTTTTGATTTTACCACGGAGAGGTTTTTAAGGATTTCCCATATGCACTTAGGATCTGAGGCTTGTGATAAGGAAGGATAAAAGAATTGTACCTTAGCACATAGCAAGAAAGATTGTGTAAGGTTTCGAAGAGTCTTAAAAGAGAAGTAATCATCCGGATTACGTGTTCGTCTGAAACGCCTCCTTGCAGCATCTCTACTTTTCTTCAACTCTCTTATTTCTGGATTAATCCAGGGAGCTGCAAGCCATCTGAAGGTCGGGGTCTTTAAGGGGGCGTGCTGATTTAGGAATAGGAGAAGGTTTGAGGATAGACACTCCACCATTTCATCAATAGAGGAGTAGGAATAGATCGGATCTAAGGATTGGGCTAGTGATTCGAGGAAAGGATTTAGTTTTTTCAGAAGTCAATGAGTCAAGATTCCGCCATGTAATTTGCCTGGGAGTGAACTTAGGAGGCGGGACATTATAGGAAATCTTGATGAGATCATGATGTGAAAGGAAAGAAACAGAGTTCTGAGCGGAGGATAATAAGTTTTGAAGGGAATCAATTTATGAATAATAGATATCATATTGAAATTCGGTTAAGTTGGCCAACGTAACAGATGCAAATGCTGACCAACTCCATCTCACATTATAATCCTTGTTTAAGCTTTCATAAAACTTAATAAAATTGTTTGGCTCATTAGTGTTTTGGAGTTTAAAGGGAAACAACTATTTTTTATTTGAAGCTTTAATATGGTTTTTGGGTGTATTTTAAGTTGTTAAAATATTTTTCAATTCTGTAATTATTTAACAATTTTTCTGTCATTATTTCCTAATTCAAATTAGCAATAATCACCAAGCATTATTAAGTTTCACATATTTATTTCAGTTTTATTACCTATCTTATACTTTTATTTTAAATATATTTGAATCTTTCAATTGTTTATCATTATTAATTTAAAATATATTTATTTTTATCCTTAAAATGTTTTATATTGGTTATGTGATTTACGATTACTTACTAAATATTATTACAATACTGTCCATTTGACATACAAAAATTCTGAGGATGACTGCATGTAGTTGAACTGAATATTGCAAAGGCTGTGTAATTTTCTTTTGTAGGATGAGTTTGGTGTCATGAAAGCAGAGATCCTATCTTATTCCCTGAATTTGAGTCTTCTGTATATTTTGCAGTGTGTTTTAGTAAAGTTGGTATACATTTTCAAAATAATTCTTAATATTGTGACGGTGTTTTTTTTTTTTTTTTTTTTTTTTTTTTTTTTGTAGGGTTTGGATAGCTATAGATTTATTTTAGCTTGTGGAGGTCCATGGAGGTGTGCTTGTTTCTGGTATATTGACAGTTATAGTCTTTTAGTTGGTTACAGCTAAGGATAGTCTTTCTATAACAGGCAATGTCATATTTGTCTTCTGTTTAAACTGTCTGGAGAATTTTGGTTTGGAAATATATTTGTAAGTTGGATGTGAAGGTTATTGGTATAATTGGGAAAAATAATTTATGGCTACTTCTTGTTTCCTCAATAATAAGGATGATATTCCAAATTATGTCATAGGCTTGAGATGGAGCTTATCCTAAAGGTACCCCCGATATGGAGTCCAGTATTATACTGGACAGTTTGTTTGTTGTTGTTCATAGCCGTGAAACCCTCATGTCATATGTCATCAATGCCTTATGAATAGTGTTTTAACTTGGCCAAACGTGCAAGCTGATCTGTACACTGAACTTCCATAGCCCAATTTGGAACAGATCAGAGCTTGGCATATTTTCAACATTGTTTCCACTTTTGAGAAGACTCATGTTGGAATCCAGTAGTGTATCAGTTTCTCTCCGGGATACTACAAAGTTCTTAATCCGATCGCCTCCTTTGATGAAATATTCAAGGTCACCCATTACTCCAGTAAAGGGTTCTAGTTGACTCGTGGATAAATGCTGAGTTCTGCATTCCTATTTTCAACAGTACCAGCTGCGTCGTTTTAGTCACTTTGGTCAGCAAAAAATTCTAACTTTGAACACTCAACCACCGCCTGGGCCAGTTGATATTATAGTTTTACCAATTGTTCTTTTTCCTCCATAATTATCTACAGTATCTAAAGCTTTAGATTCTGAGATCACTAACTACTTAAATCACATGAATGTATCACAGAAATTTTCAGGTTTCGGCACGAGTTATGATTAGACTGAAGACATAAAGACACAGCTCATGGAAGTGAACTGAATTTATTTTGAACTGGTATATAGGTAAGTTTTCTATAGTGTATTACAACACTGTTGCAACCTTTTTTTGTGTTATCTATTGCATTCTCTATTATTGACATGTGATTGATAAACAGACAGTAATAACATATTACTTGCTTTTATTTACATCCTATATACAGTTTTTTTATTTATTTATTATAATGGCACTACGGCCCTGAAAGAACCTGGGCCTCCTCCACTGCAGCCAACCAATCTCCACGGTCTTGTGCTACTTCCCTCCATCTTCAAATGTCCAGCTTCCTCAGATCATCCTCCACATCCTCCAGCCACCGAGGGCATCCTCTACTTCTTTTACCATCCGCCTTCTCATACAGGATTCTCTTTGGCATTTTTTTCCAAATTCCATTCTCACGAATTCTGCTCCTTATTCTTCTCAATAGTTTCTCTCCATTATATATACAGTTTACTTATATATAATAAAATAAATTAATCTTCTGCACATTTATAAACAAAACAAAATTAAAAAAAGAACAATTTTTTACTCCAATTATAATATAGTGAATAGAGGAAAAATATAATAAGAACAGAGTAAGCTTATCTATCAGAAGGAGTCTTGAGTAGAATCCTATCTAGAGCCCAAACAAACAATATCATACACATGCTGTCTTTATCTAATTAATATTCCTGTATTTTTATTTGTACCATCTCTTCTTTTTACTTTCTACTCAGGCATTTTTTAAATGACGGATTTAATTTTCTTCTTTCTTAGTAAATACTTAGAGCTTATTTATTAGAAGAACTTAAGTTATTTTTATTTCTATTTATTTCTTTGAAGTGGCTATGTATACTATTTTACCATTTTCGACGGATTTAATATATGTTTTGTTCATAAGTATTTTCTTCATAGTTTTAAGTGTTTTGTAAATAGTTCTATTTGTTTTGTACATAGTTAGTTTACTTAATTTTTCTGTTTTTTTTTTATTTTACTTGGCTAGAAGAAATCCATTTTTTTTTTTTTTGGATGATTTTGTTATTCTTATGGAACTTTGACCGAGAATTCAATTATTTTTCTATTCTATTCTGTTAAGTATTAAGAATATGAAACAAAATAAATTACCTTCATCTCCACTTTGAACGACCCCAGGAGCAGTGCATCGTCTTCTAGAGCATGAAAAAAAAGTATTATTCAATACATTATATATGAAGTTTGTAAATAAAAATAAAACTAATAGAGACCTAGAGCCAGGGCCCAAAAAGTGATTTCATTGAAGGAGAAGGTTTGAATGTAAATTACAAAGTGCATATTTTCTAAATAAAATTAATCTTGTCTGCTATTCCATAGCTGATAGTTTCAAAAATAGTGGCCGATTTAAAGAATATTAGACTAGTAACTTGAGGATTGAAACAAGAAATATATTGTGAAAAACGTGGTAAAAGTTTTTAATTTTTTAACTTATATGCATGGATTTCAACATGTAAAAAACAAAATTGGTAGCACATGCTACCAGAGGAAAACTTTTACAGCCAAAAAAGCCACATTTTTTTTTTTTCCGCCTATAACTTTTGAACGGTACTTCAAAGCGGAAAAAATACTCTTTTAGAAGTTAAAGTACATTGAATCGTGCGCCAAATGATACCTAAACTTAATAATTTGGTTAAGAGATATGGTAAAAAACCACGATTAATGAATGCTGATTTTTACCAATTTTGTCAAAAACTGGGACAAATTACTATAAATGGCCCTGCAGCTTGGAAATGAGTTCTCTAAGAGAAAAAACTCATAAAATCAAAGTTGTAGAGCATCAATTGAATGAGGATTAGTTATTTCTTCATGAAATTTGGTTTCTTTTGACACCTCGTTTTTCAAAATCCTTCGCTGCTGTGAGGTTGAAAAGAGACCTATAAAGCATATAACAGACTCTAAACAAGAATAACTCAGTAGAACAGAAACCTACTTAAAAACTGTTAAAGTATTGAAAATCATACATATCTTCATTACCGATTTCCAGCCATCAGGAAACTGCCGATTTTGAGCAGAGTAAGTGATCTTAAAACTTTTGTTCCTCAGTTCACAAAGAATTTGATAATTTGATGCTCTATAACTTTTATTCTATGAGTTTTATCTCTTAGAAAACTGAATTCCAAGCTGCAGGACCATCATTAGCTGTGGTTTTCGACCATACAACTTAAACAAATTAATAAGCTTTGATTCTCATTCGGTGCAAAATTTAACGTTATTTAATTTCTTAAAGAGTACGTCTTTTGGTTTGATGAAACGGTTAGGAGTTACAGACAAAGAAAAAATATATTACATATATAGGTAAGTGAGAGTAAAAAGGTCATAAAAATCTGACTTTTTTGGCTGTAAAAAGATTTCCCTTGGTTTCTTGCATTAGCAATTTTGTTTTTTACATGTTTGAACCCATATATACAAAAGAAAAAAAACTTATCCCATATTTTTCACAATATATTTCCCATTTCGATTCTCATGTTAAAGTCTAATATTCTTTCAATTAGCCCCCATTTTTGAAAGCAGCGGCTTTGGAATGGCAGACAATGTTCATTTTACTTAGAATAACATGAATTTTTGTAATTTACATTCAAACCTCCATCTGTGATGTGGTCTCTTTTAGAGCACTGGTTCCAGGGATATGAGGAAATAAATGAAACATTTACTAAATTATTAATTTTATAAACATTATTTTCTTTAAAAAGAAATTTATTAGTTACTTTGACTTACCGTAAGATGGGCTAAGTTTGGGACAGCGGGTAAAATTTAGTTTGTAGTGATTGCATGGTGGATACACTGTGTTGGTGCAGTGAGCATGGACAGCGCATGCACTGTGCTACTTTCTTGCGTCACACTACTCTTGTGGCACAAGGGAAAGCTTCATGAAAACAAGAATTTTTAAGAAAGCAATGGAAATAAATAAAACCTAACTGCACAATCAGTGTAGTGAACAAGGGTTCTCAAACTGCCACGGTGTAGTAGCGCAGTACATTACTACACAAAGCACGTTTTTGCAGACTGAACCAACACAGTGTATCCACCACAAAATCACCACAAACTAAATTTTACCCGATATCCTAAAGTTACCCCATCTTACAGTATTCATTTTTCAGAAAAATAGGAAATAGAAATAGATGAAATATATACTAAAACAGTTCATTTCAAAGTCACTAAGTAATTTTTTGCTGGAGCTAAAATTTTAAATCAGTTTTTGAGAATTTCAACCTTATTTATTGATACACACAGTATGGCCCTAGCCTTTGTACAGATAATCCTAGACTGATGTATCACAGCAATTAAAAAAGAATTGGTTCTGTCATTCATGTGTAAAGTCCCTTATTAAGAATCAAGCTATGAGGGCCGCTGATATTTCAGAGGAGAGTAATACTTCTGTATTCTCCAAGGTGAGAAGGATTGCTGGAGATAAAAAGAGATAAAGTTATCACTCGGGAAGCAGTGACCTAGAGTATGAAAATAGCGAGAGACTTAAAAAGATAGAAGAGTTGGAACTTAAACAAGAAAAAGTTATTAAAAATTTACTGAGAATAAAACTTAAATCTCAAATAAATATCTATAGGCAAGGCTTAATGAAGCAGAACAAGCTCAGCTGGCAAACAACTTAGAAATAAAGAGTATCACTGCTAAACCAGGAGAACCGACAGAAGGTCTACTTTGTTCCATAGAGGCAACTCAGGATATGAAACTGAGCATTGAGGACCTGGACTTTGTTGAAGGTTCGTCTGCCAAACTGTGCCTACGCAAAGATAAAAGAGATTTTTCAAGAAGACATCTGTGCAGAGAAACCAACGAAAGAATATAACCTGAGAAAAGAGATGAGTCCAGGCAACAAGCATCTGTATTGGTTCGTAGCAGGAAAGCTGAAATATATTTGGTTCGTTAGAGGAAGAATCTGATCCTGTCGTGTGGATGGCTCCCCCTGTCAATATTATTTAGAATAAAATAGGTTACAGCGTTCACCCCAATACTTTTGTTTTGAGTGTCTTTTATTTTATTTTTTAAAATATTTTATACTTGTACAGATTTTTATTTTACTTTTTACAACTATTTTGAAAGGTAGAAGCTCTTTATTTTATTTTCAATTAAATCATATTTTCTTTCTATGCCCACTCATGCTTAAAATTGTTACTTAAAATTTACATTTATTTATCTATTTTTTTTATCTTGAACTATACTGTTTAAAAATGTACCCATCCCCCATTATACTTAACACCGTTCTGTCCCACTCCACTGTATATCCTTTATTTAATTCCTTCATGACTAATACCTTAATATCCTGCCAAGTTAACTCCCAATCCCTTCCAGTACATTATGAACAATTCCTTGATAATTTCTCCCATTATTTCTATCATATCATTTCCATCTCTGAAACCTGGCTCAAACCTGGTATTCCCTCACCATCCTTTTCCATACTCGACTAAACCCTCTTTTGTCATGATCCGAGATATCAAACTGGAGAAGATGTCGGGCTGTTCATTCATGACAGCCTGAAAGCCAAAATTCTTTTAAAATCTTCTTCTGACATCCCGAATATTGAATATATATTTGTCCAAGTTTCCTCTAAAACTTTTTCTCTACTCTTCATCATAATTTACCGCCACCCTCATGTCTAATTACCTACTTTATTTCCCTCATGTCTAATTTGATCCTACTTTAGAATCCTCTATCCTTATATATACCCCTCTGTTGAAAAATGTTATTATTGGAGGTGATCTCAACGCCAACCTCCTTTCAGATTCACTGAATAAAACATATCTTATTGACCTAGTTTTCTCTCTAGACCTATTTATTGTACCTTTTCAACCCACTCATCAATCTCAATCTACTGATTCCTGGCTACAATTATTTTTCATCGATTCCTTCCAAAACCTGTCTTCCTAGCAAATTCCTTACTTTTATCTCACAATCTTATCGAAATATCATATGTCTCTACTCCTATACTTATTACTTACCAAGAAAATTTCCTAGAGAGATATTGATTCCTTAACCTTGTTGATGAACTTCAATTCCTTAACATTGAAAACATCAATCCTTTTTTTGATTTCCTGTCCATTTCCTAAGAATCCATTTATATCCTTTCTTTTATCTATGACAAGGTGGAATACCTTTATTTTAACATCCTAGATTTCCTTAAACATCATACACCTCTTAAAACCCATATTTTTATACCTCCTCATGCTCCCTGGATCAACTCAGAAATTAGGGAATAAATAAGAAGACAATACAGACGTACAAAACTGCCTCAGCATTATTTTATCTTTAAATCCCTATGAAACCTCACACAAATATCCTTACAAATATCCATGCCTAAGCGCAATACTTTCATAATGTTTAATCCAAACCCTAAATGCAAATTAACAATCCTCAGGAATCTCTGTCATTAGCTCCAAAACTTTCCCACATTATTCACTTGATCCAAAACAAACTAAATCGTTTTTTTTCTGAACATCTCCTTTCTGCATTTTCATCTGACCTCTCGCTTTTTTCCATCACTGAAACTTCTTTTGATCTAAATAAGTTTTATTTTTTTGATGTTTCTCTAACTGACCTCTCTACCATCTTTAAATTTAAAAGCGAGTGAGGTGAAAAGCCTCCAGTATTACTTTCTGCACTTTTACACCTATCACTACTGTTAATGCAAAAGGTCTAATGTAAAAATTGAGTTTTTTACAGATACATAAATTACACAAAACTGATTATTTATTAGTATAACTTTATATTTTATTTTTCTATATATCAGATTACTTATAGCTGTTGCAAACTTTCCCCTTTAGTGTACAGAGAATAAACATGTAAAATTATTTCTTATGACCTTTAGCACTAACAGCAAGGATATACAATTTCTCTCTCCAAAATTCCATTTTTTCTAAAGTCTAGAAAAAAAGACATCGTCCAGTCACTAAACGAAGTCCCTGCTCCTTCCTCAGCTTCTGACTCATCTCTATTTTATCTAAGCCACTGGAAAGATTAGTTCACTCCCAGATAAATAACTTTCTAGAGCAAAACCATCTCCTCAATCCTAAACAATTCAGTTTTTGTTCCCAATATTTTACCCAATCTGCCTTATTCAAAATTACCCAAGACCTCCAATCCTCCAAAGATGAACATAAAATCTCCATCCTAATCGTTTTCA